GGTGGTGTGATTAGAGCGGGTGAGCTCTTCGCTTTGCCTGGGGCGCTGCGCGGCTCCAGGGCTCCGCGGGGGACGGCCGGGAAGGACGTTTGGGCACATGGGGCAGGAGGGAGGTGGGAAAGGCTCCCCTGAAACACATGGAGCGGCCCAGGAGGGAGAGGAAGGTTTATTGGTTCTTTCTTTTAGTTTTAGCATGAGAGAAAACGCTCACCTTTTTGGCATGCTTAAAGGGGAGAGGCAAGGTATTAAGCTTGGCTTGATCCCGAAGGATCCTGGAGCATCCAAAAGCAGCTGTGCAGGATTGCTCCTCACCCGCCCCGAAACAAGCTCCCGGCCTGAGCGATCCCACGGGCCCTGCGTTGGGAAGCTCCAAGACGTTGCTCTTGGGATAGTGCCGCCCGCTCCTGGAGTGCGACGGGCTTCCAATCCTCTCCATTTCTCCATGTATTTTATTTTATTTCTTTATTTCTCCCCTCTTGCACCGCAGTTGGAGCTGTGGTGCTCACTGGGCTCTACCCAGGATCACTGCTGTGCCGAAAGCCTCAGTCGTTAGTGTGTGACGAGCTGCTGCTTCCCAGCTAATTAAAGCAGCGCTGATGGGCTCCCGCGCCGCTCCCAGGGCCTGCCGCATGCACAGCCTGCCGAGTCCCAGATTATCATCTTTTTATTTATTTCTCTATGCCAACTTGGCCCGTGCCGTGGGATAGATCGTAAACGGGCAGAGCTGCTTTATGTTTGAAGCTAGGTGTGTTTGCAATCGGCTGCAGCACCGACAGCTTGGTTTCTGGGGCTGGCCGGCCTTGTTGTTCTAGGGCTTCTATTTATTTATTTTTTGGTACTCCCATCAAAGGAAAACAGCCCCATGCATTTATTTTATTTTATTTTTATTTTATTTTTTTAACTGCCTCGTCCCTGCTTTGAGCGAGGGCAATTTCTGCCAAGTCCCAGGCCGGAGCTGCCCTTCTCTGGCACGTTTTGGACTCAAAGCAGCTGCCTGGTTTTGGTGCGAGACCTCTCCTTAAGGAGGAACAGACTTTTTTTAAAGGAAGGATGATCATTTTCTGCCTTTCCAAGCTCCCAAAGCATCGGTACTCATAAAGGATTTGCTTTCCTGTGAGCAGTTTATTAGCCCCAGAGCATCTCTGCACACAGGACCAGCTGTGGTTGCTACAGACCCCAAGGATCTGTTTGCTTGAATTAAGCACTGGGGGCAGGAGAAAGGCAGCTTTTAGTGTTAATGATCAGCAAATTGCATGTGAGGCTGTGAGGAGGAAGCTGCATCTAACAGGGGTTGTAAATTGTTGTTTTTTTGGTGGCTGAAACAGCTGAATTTTTACTTTGGGTAACCACTGGGTTACACGGTTAAAAAAAATGAGCTTGGTCTAAGCTGTTCCCAGCATGTCCTTGTCCAGCCTCTGATGGCAGAACCTCCAGCCTGTCCCCAGCCAGGTGATTCAAGCACTTTGCCATCTCCATGACCCCTGTTTCGTCCTCCTGGCTGTGGTTTTTAGGCCCATCCAGGCCCAGCCTCACGCTGGCCACGTTTGCTTTGACTTTTGACTCGTCTTTGACTTTTACCTCAGTGCAAGCAAGAGAACCGGTTTGCAGCTTGTGATGGCTCTGGGGCATTTGCCCCAACACCTCTGTGCAGAGCAGGCAAAGCAAAGCAGGTTTCCCTGTGCTGGGGTGGAGGGCAGGATCGCTTTCTTCTTGGCTCCTCAGTGGAGGCCACCAGTGCTTGAAGATCCACGCTAGCGGCTGGGTTTTGCCCCGTCTAATATTGCCCCCTCTGCCTTGTTTTCCACAGGATTTAGGGATGGAATCGACCTCTCTGGATGATGTCCTCTATCGGTATGCCAGCTTCCGCAACCTCGTGGATCCCATCACCCACGACCTCATCATCAGCCTTGCGCGATACATCCACTGCCCCAAGCCGGTAGGTACCGTCACGCCTCCGGCACGGGCCTGGTGTGGGAAGAAGCGCTCCATGGGGATGGGAAACCTCCTTTCAAACACCAGAGAAAGCACGGCTGGGTCGGTGTGGTGGTTTTTTGCCCTTCGGTGGTTCGATCGCAGGATTTCCAGCTGCCCTACAGTGTGAATGTCACTACATTCACATAATGTTAGTCTCGGTACTTTGTTTTGCAAATTACTTCTGCTTTTGGCCACTTTTCGTTTCCTCCCCCGTCTGCAGTGTGAAAGAACTTGCACCACCAGGAACAGTTCTTGCCTTGCCGGGATAACGGCCCATCCCTCTGCCTTGTGCAATATTTATCACATCCGCAGGCCACGCAAGTCCTTGGCAGTGCCTTCAAGGCCAGAGTCCCCAAAGGGCTTGTCCTCCTCGGAGCTTGGGCTCCGGCGGGAGCAGGTTTCCCTGTGGCCGAGTTGGCATCGCTTCCCGGGGTGATTTTTGACCTCCTGGTCATCCTGTGCTGCTGTTCCCGACCTGTAATTGTGGGAGGAGAGCAGAGCTCTGCTCCATGGGCACGCAATGCTCCGAGCAGGTCGCCTGAATCTGCAATATTCCAGTGCGGAGGAGGTGGCTTCCTTCCCCAGTACCACGCTGTCCTTCTCGAGGGACGTTTCTGTCAGCATTTTGCCTTGTCCGGGCCTGGAGCAGAGCACAGAGGAGCTGGAGGTTCGCGTGTCAAGGCTGCTTTTTCCTTTCCCTTTGCACATTGCTCAGCAGGAGCTGAAGCTGCATTTAGAAACAAGCAGGAACTTCAGGGAGAAGCAGGATGATGCTTTGCGGAAAGCCCCGTTGAAGGTGGGACATCTCCATTGCAACAACCCCCTTGCCGGGGGGAGCTCCATGGCACCCCTCGAACTTGCCTGGGGCCCATAACAGAGCAGAAAGTCACGTAACCCCTGTGCAGCTCCCATCCCGCGCGCAGCCTTCCCGGGCTCCGCTTGAAGGTCGTTGGGAGCAGCTTTCATGGCCACGTGTTGGCCAAGGAGGATTCTCCCCAAGCCTGATCTGTCCCTTGACCACACAGCTATCCATGCGTTTCTAGTTCCTTCCTTAGGGAGAACAAATTCCTCCCTTTCTCCTCCCCTGTGGGGTGCTGGAATGGGAACAGGAGAGACATTTTGAGAGACATCTTTCCAGTGTGATGTTCCCCCGTGGAAATTGCAGTCCCCAAGCTGGAGTGACCGAGCTGGTCTCTCCTCCATGTTGAGATGAGTGGGCAGCCCCACAGCAGCACATTTTTCTGCTTTTCTAGGGGGAAATTTTGCAGCAACCATGTCCCAGCCACCGAGCTACATTTTCTCCATGCTCATTTTCTGTTCCAGGAAGGCCCTGGGGTCTCTTGTGTTCCTCCTCCCTCAAGGGAAAGGGAGTTGTTTCCTATTGAACATTGTTTTGGATCAAATAAAACCCGCTCTTGCATGGGAATGGTTGCCTGTGTGGGAGCTGCATTTTCCCATGGTTTTGGGAGCAGAGTTGGTTTTGCCTGTGTAGCTCTCGGTGAAGATCTATTTTCTTGTTCACTTTTTTGTCATTTCAGAAATATATACATAACTGCGGCCTTTTTTTCCTCTGTCCGGGCTCTACTCCGATCAGGTTTGCAGTGTGGTTTTGGGTCTATAAATTGTCACCCACAAAGGCAAGAGGAAGCATATAAACAAAAATGAACTGTTGTGACCTGGTTGAAATAATGTATTTCTCAGCTTTTCTGTGCTCTGTGGTTGGAAGATTTACCTGGCCGCTGCCAGTTTTTTATGTCCCATGTTTTCTAAAGGCTCCTCTTTCTGATAGAGCTGCATGGAAACTCGAATTAACACTTTTCCTCTTATTTCCTGGTCACTGACCTGTGGCTAAGACACGGTGTGGATAAACCGGGCTTGCGACGGGGTGACTGCAACCATCGTCCTCCCATGGCGTTGTAGAGCAGCCGAGGCCGAAGGCTCCTGCGGTGACGCTGGGGCCACTTGGGTGCCACCCCGGGCCAGCTCGTCCCCTCACTGAGCTTCTCAGCTCTCAGGGGCACAAGGAAAGTGGCCTTTGTGCCCCCTCTTTCAAAACGCTCCGCAGGTTTCAGACACCAAGCGCCGCGGGAGCGCTGAGTGTTGGTTGTTCTTCACTGCAAGAAGCATCATAAAAGGGAGCTGGTTTATGAATGCAAAAAACACCCCACCCTCTAAACCCCCAATACCTGATGCAAAAGCAAAGAGGATAATGGTGTTTCAACCATCTAAATCAATTATATTCTCTATTTATTCTCCTTTTTTTTTTCCTGCCAGTCTTTCTGCAAGTGTGATGATCACTCTTTATGGGGTATTTAAGATCTCTGCAATACATTAATGCATCAGACAGGATGCTGTGAAGCTCAGGCTGAGCTAATGATGGCTCTGGTTCTTTCCGAGCTTGTGTCGTGCCCTCTGCCCGTGTTTTCTTTGCAGAGGGAGAGACGCTCCCTTTCAAGCACTCGTGTGCGAGCCAGAGCTGAACAGAGCGTGCCTTGGAAACGGGGGAAATTGCACTGAGGGCTTCTTCTTTGCAGTTCTTTTAAAAATTGAGGTTAAAATTGAATAACGGCGAGGTCTGGAGGAGCTGTGATGATATCACTGCTGGCAAGTTTGCAGCTGGAGAGCTGTGGGGAGGAGGGGAGGAAAGCTGGTGCCTCTCCTGAGGGCGAAGGGTATCCGGGGTGTCCGGATGGCTCCCAATTAATCAGTCTTGTCCATGGGAAGGGCAGGAGCCCAAGGATCCCTGTGCCAAGTGATTGGCAGCAAAGGGGCAGCTTTCGTTCCCCTGTGCAGCCTCTCCAAAGAAGCCGAGAGAGCATCGCTTCGGAAAAGGACGGGCCGGGAAGCAGGTCCCTCATTAAGCAGCAGCGCCGTGTTTTATTGATGCTTTCAGATGATAACGGACATTTGAGTTCAGCTCATTTAGGTTTTAAGCAGAACATAATTCCTTGCCTAGCAAGGAAGAGTAAGGATTCTTGTCTGTTCTGTTCTTGGGATCGCCCTTCACTCACTTTTGGTGCTGAGCAGCACCTGCAAAGTGGATGCAAGGCAGGTTTTGCCTGGGCAGCACACACATTTAGATGGATGTTTTAATACCTGTTTGCAACCTCACTTGCACGAGGGTGAATTTTCAGCCAGCCCACGGCCCGCCAGCACCAGGCTCTGCAGAAATAGGTGGATTAATAACCAGGACTCCCTGCAGACCCCTATGGATTGAGCAGGGCTGATGGCTGCAGACCTGAGCAGGCTGCCCAGGGTATGGGCCTGTTGGCCAGGGCTGGTGTGGGCTGGGCTGCAGAGCCCCTTGCGCTTCCAAAACCTCTGGATTTTGGAATCTGTCACGTTCTTGGCACTCACGCTGGAGCTGGAAGAGTTGCTGGTGTTGGACCTTTTTGCAGCATCGCGTCTGTCTTGCTGCAGACCCCGAGCTGCTGCTTGCTCCAAACAGAAGTTTCTCCCTTTTCTCACACTGCCCAGGCTCTGCTGCCATTCCCAGCAGAGGGTTCGAGTTTTGTCCCATCCTCTTTGACAAGTTTTGCTGTTATTGAGTTCTTTGCTCATTAGCTAATTGAGAGATATCCCCATCTCTTTTCTGTGCATCACAGAGTGTGACCAGGACAGCCAGGACAGAGCTCTTGCCACCGTATCCCATTCCCAGGCTCTCCCACATGCCAGGGGGATCCTAGGGTCATGGTGAGGGTCTGAGAGCCCGCACTGCTTTGGGCAAGTATTTGCAGGAGCATCCCAGGTTCGTCCTGCTCTGCTCCAGCAAGCAGCGGCTTTGCTTCCCATGGGATCCGGTGCAGTGCAGCAGAGCTGCAGACTCCGTAACAGCCTGTTTGGGCTGGGAAAATCCTACGTGTTGCTCTGCATCTGCAACATAAATTACCAAATCAGCTAGTTCTGCTTTCAGCCTGTCAGCGAAGGCAGCACAGGGGTCTCGCGGCTGCGATTGCCCATGGGCCCTCACCCCGGCCTTTGGGCTGTTTAAAGGGGGAGTTTGGAGCTCTCCCCATCCCTTGGCTGCTGCTCCCATGGGCAGGGAGAGCTGTTGGCTGGAGAAAGCCCTGTTAGGGCTCAAACAGCGACGGGCCGGGATGCTGCGGCGCCGTTGTCTGCAGGCAGCAATGGGCTGTGATTGCATCAACCAAAAGGAAAGAAAAAAACAAATTAAAACTCGAGTGAGAAAAGCCGAAAGCCATGAGATGACTTCAGCTCCTCGTGACCGCGTCAGAAGGGAAGGCCTCGTAAATTTGGCAGCGCCGGCTCCTCCAAACCCACGGGGAGCAGGATGCCGACTGGCTGCCACAGGGCTGGGAGCAGGGATGATGATGGAGCCATGTGCAGAGCCCAAAGGTGGCCGGGGACAACGTTGGGAAGCAGCTCGTGCCAGTGGCTTTGTGGCCTCTGCGAGCGGTGGGTGAGCGTCAGGCACAGAGAGCTCTTGTGGAGCAGGATGATTCCTGGTGCTTGGATAGCATCTCCTTCCTTCAAACACCAAAGCACATCCCTCCGTGTGTTGTGGGAATTTGTTTTTCCTTTGCTTGATGCTAATTTGTAGTAGCTGAGCTGAGGCACGTCAGGAAACATCTTTGGTGATGGGGCTTAGGGCCTCCTGGAGCATCTCCCGCTGCGCCGCATCTTCATGTTGCGGCATTAGGGCCCATCGCTGGCAGGAGCACCGGGGGCTTTTCCTCCCATTTGGTTTATGGGCATGAAGTGGATTGTGTTTTAGGGCTCAATGTCCCCTGAGCCACATGGAGAGGGAATGTGTTGCTGGTGGGGACTGCACATGCCCGAGATGGTCGTGTGCAGGGTTGGGGCTCGCCGCGATCCCATGTTTCAGCTATTTCTCCTCATTCAGATATTCCTGGCAGCAGCTCCAGGCACAGGAATGACCAGTGTCCTTATGGTCATGGCTTTAAGCATCGTGTGCTCCCGTTCCTGACAGTGCTGCAGCAGCCAGAAAGAGAAGATACAAGCTTGGAAAGGAAAAAAAAAAAAAAAAAAAGGAAAGGGGGGTTAATTAAGTGAAAAGCATCGTTTTGGAGGGCTGTTTTTGAGTATTTGTGTGTTAGGACTTGCAATACAAAGTGGATTTTTCTGCCTGGAAGCTGATTGCAAGTGACAGCAACGTGGGACCCTGTAACAACACAAGTGACCCTGGCCCCTCTGCCAGGCTGGGACAGGGGCTAATTGCTCTTGTTTGGGTCAGCGCCTGCCGCAGAAACCCCCTTTCTGCCTCCTCCGTCGGTAACGTCGACCTCTTTTGCACAGGAGCTGGCGACGATGCCCCCACGATGCTCCCATGTGCAGTGACAAAACCCGGGGGGTTGATGCACCTGTGGGAGCAAACTGCCCCCCAGGAGATTTTCCTGCGTCCCCTCGTGTCCCGCCGGGCCCGCGGTGACCGCAGGCCCCTTACGGCGTTCCCGCTTGTCTCCGCAGGAGGGGGAGGCGCTGGGGGCCATGGAGAAGCTCTGCCGGCAGCTCACCTACCACCTGAGCCCCCACTCGCAGTGGCGGCGCCACGGCCTCGTCCGCAGGAAGCCCCAGGCCTGGTGAGTCCCGGCCCGCGGCGTCGCGCGGGGGCAACCGGGCGCGTTTTCCTTCACGTTGGGTGGTGAGAGTAATTCCCGGGAATAAGCGGGGCCCTGGGGATAAGATTCGTGGTTCCCTGTGGGATTCTTGGGAAGAGCCATGATGGCAGTGGAAGCTGAAGCCTTCGCTGGCACCTCTGCTCCTGCTCCGGTGTGGGATCGGGATGCGGTGCCCAGCGTGCTGGCTGCTTTTGGATGAAGCAGGAGAACAGCAGCTTCCCCTTTCCCATGACTGTCTAAGGAAGCGGCACTGCTTTTTGTATATATCTGTGTTTTTTGTTTTTATCTTTCTTGTTATTTTTCTTACTGCCATATGAGCACTTTTTAATGCTGGGAAAGGCTGTCAGTCTGCCTTTCCTAGGGACACATCCCCAGTTACTCCATCCTTGTCTGCCTCTTCAGAGAAGGCAGATCCAAAGCCTGTTCCCACCGGCAATAAGAAATTTTATTAAGCTTCATGTCCTCCCAAACCAGGCACAGAAAAGCGGGTTGTTCCACAGCATACGGCCTGGAAGGCCAGCAGGCTGCATCCGTGCCCGCGATGCTTCCTTGTGCTGTCTCGTCTCCTTTTTCTTCACTCTCCTCCTTTTGTTGCTTTTTCTTTTCATTTCCTTTTTTGCTGGAGAGGATTTCGCCCATCTTGCAAAAAAATTGGTTGCTTTTTCTTTTCATTTCCTTTTTTTGCTGGAGAGGATTTCTCCCATCTTGCAAAAAAATCGGGGGTCATCAAGGGAAGGTTTGGAGCCTGTGTGCTGCCCAGAGCATCAGCTAGCAGGGTCACTGAAGAAGGCTCCATAGCCGTGAGCTTCATATGCACCAGCCTCGCCTCCTGCACAGGCTTCTGCTTCTTCACCTTTTAATGAGTATTTTGGCTCTGTCCCCTGGTTTCCTACTGATAATTACAGATCTCAACCCAATTGCACGGGTGTTGAGGCCCTGATGGAGAACTCCTGGGCTGGAGCTGGAGCGTTGCTGGAAAACACTTCCTTAATTTGCAATCTGTAGCTTTGCGATGCATTGCGCTCCTGGGTCCCGTCTGCTGGAGCCGCGCTCATTAGCGCTCCTCCTAACGAGCCAGGTAACGCATGCATTGCAATCTGTGGCATGGCTTCATTAAGCAGGGTAATTTCCCTGGGCCCCTGGCTCTGCCCGTCTCCCGCCACGCAGCACTTCTCCTTCCCTGCAGCTGCTCTGGGCATGTTTGAAGGGTTTGAGGAAGGAATTAGAGCTTAATTATCCCGGCGACGGGGAGCAGAGGCTGATGTGCCTTCGAGTCGGCTGCTTCAGCGCAATCCTCATTTTGCACCTTCGTTAAAACGTTCGCTTGCAGCATCGCTGTTTAAGCTCGCGAGGCGCCCGCGTTGGCACTCGCCTCTGCAGTCTAACAGAGCCGAACCATAAATCGAGCGTGTGTAAACACTGCCGGCGTGTGTGCTCATGGGCACGCCGTGGGTTTGGAGGGGGTAAAGGCTCCTCGTGGAACCCCTTTGGAAAATAATCCCTCCCCTGCAAGCCGCTGGCTCTCTCCAGACTTTCAAGCAATTCAACCCGGAGGCACAGGAGGGTTTTTGCCCCGCTGACGAGCACCGAATCTGACAAAATGCTCAAACTGTTGATTTTGCTGCTGAACAAATGAACTGGCAGCCAGAAGCAGTAGAAAATATCCGAAAGGAAAAAATCCTGCCCTGGCAGCGAGGGTGGAAGAAGCTGCTTCATAAGAACGGGACCTCTCTTTCCCCTTACGCTTTTTTCCAAGCTCACTCATGCTCTCCAAGCCCCAACTCGGATCCCGCTCGTCCTTCCTGGGGGCAGTTTTGGCTTCCACCCCATGTCCCGGAGGAAGTCAGCATCGGCACCTAACAGGGATCTCTCTTCTCCGGGAAGGGGTTTCTTGCCTAATCCGCTGGGTTAAAGCAGCTCGTGTTGAAGGCGACGGGTCTGTGACTTGTGCCAGACTCTGCAGCATCACTTGGTCTCCCGCAGGGTCCAAGTTGGACCACAGCCATGTCACCACTCGTGGGTCCAAGAAAAGGGCCAATTCCCTGCACTTGGGAAGCTGAACAGGAAGTGAGATTTTTGCAGTATTATGTGTTGCCTTTTCCTGCTCATGTCTTTTGTCAGAAAGCAGGTTAAGCAGCTGGTTGGGAGAAACAAACAGGGCAGGTTTTTGTGGTGTTCCGGATGATCCTGTGGGATTTGCAGAGCTGCAGGGACACAGAGAGCAGCTCCGAAAGCAGAGGGGGCTGGGGATGCTCTTGCATCTGCTCCACAGGATGGGATATGGGAAGTGGAATGGGGACATTCCTGGCCCCAGACGGATAGTGAAGCCGGAGGGGAGCAGGCAGGACATGTTCCCACGTCCATCCCAGCAAAAAGCCAGGCTGCCGGGAAGCTGCGCGGCAGCAGGGAACCGCCGCCTGCTGCACCGCTCCCGAACGGGATCCGTGCTCTGATAAAATAAACAGTTTAGGGAAAGCAAAGCCCTGGGCACATAATTTGGCAGCTGATCACTGCCTAATTGCAGGAAAAACAGTGGGGGGAAGTGTTTTTTTATTTTATTTTTTATTCCTTGGGCTGGTTTCTGATGAGAAAACAGGCCTGAAAGATCAGACTTGAAGTTTATCTATCTCCCTTCCCCCCTGAAAAACAAAAATGCTATTTTCTTTCCCTTTGCATCAATGGAATTTAATCTATTTAAAGTAACAAGCAAATAGACTCCACAGCATGCAGAACTCAGACTCTCAGTGGTTTCATGTTTGCCGTTTTCCGCAAGCATGAAAGATCTCTTTCCTTTTTTTTTCTCCCCCTAAGCTTTCCTGGCTTTTGGCTACACAAGAGCCAGATCTGCAGCCGCTGTGGTCATCAAGAAGTGACTGGTGGGCAGAATAAAATGCCAGAGGATGCCCCACGGCAAAGTGCAATTGCTTCCTTTCTCCACAGGGTTGAGAGCCAATAGTTATTTGGACATAAGAGTCCATTTCTCAGAGCATTTCCTTTTTTCTTCATATTTTATTTTTATTTTTTCTATGATAGAGTTTAAAGAAAATGTTCCTATTGTTTGTTTTCATGCAAACTTGAATAAATTCTTATTCGGGTCAAATTGACTTCCAGGAAGTCATTTACAGCAGCAACAATCCCAAAGTGTTTTCTTTTAAATTCTTGATTGGTTTTCTGTTGGCACGGGTGCAAATTGCCTTTTCTGCAAATGCATGTTATTAATGGGCCTCAGCTGCAGTTTTTTTATTAGACCGGAGCAGAGTTAGCTGGAAATGTTCCAGCATGGTTTCTCTATAGGATGATGCAGGTTCCTCGAGAGGAAAATGTTTCATAAGGAGGAGCGTATAAATATGTTTTATTTGGCGGGGAGGAATTCAGGGGAGAAAATGGAGTACTTCAATAACAGCATATTTAAATTTTCTTAATAAGTCAAAGAATTCTAATTAATGGAAAGCATTTTGATGGATCCCAAGTGCTTGTTTCTTTGATTTTTGTGTAGCAGGAAATTAAAAACAAGTTAGAAGAATCTTTGGGAAAACAGACTTCCATGTAAGTGGTGCAAGCAACTCCTCAAGCAGCTCTTCTCCTTTGTTATACCTGCCGGAGATATTTATCAAGCTGCTGCTTTGGACAGAGTTATTTCATTTTCCAAAAATCTTGTTGCTTTATGGTTTAACCGGGTCCTTTTCCTAAATGCCACAGAGATGCAATGAAATGATGCTGCAACCTTTTAGACTTGTCAAAGCTGAAAGGAAGACCCGTTTTCTGACAAAAACTTAGCCCTGGGTGCAGCTGCCAAGCTTAGGAGCAAATCCCGACTAAGGACAGGCTCCAGGCTCTGCCTGTCCTCCTCACTGCCCGCCCTGGAGCTAAATGGCCTGGACGGGAAGTTGCCAGCAGGGGATCACAAAACCAATAAAGAGATTTTTGGAATTGCTTTGGGAAAAGCGCATGGTCCCCGTCCCATCCCGCAGTGGGAAGTGGACGGTTGAGCCAGCCCTGTGCACACAAGACCCTGCTTTGCTAGGGTGGGTGTCCCTCAGATCGTGATTTAGAGATGATAAGAAAGAGCCATCTAATCTCATCTTCCCTTTATTATTCATTATTACTATATAATAATTGCTATAATAATTACTACGTATACACCTCAGTCACATTGCTATTTGTATGCCTGCTTTAAGCTAAATAAATACATTTTCTTGGCTCGGTTCCTCCTTTGAGGCTGGGAGAGCTTCATCCTTTTGCCGACATCGCTGCTACCAGAGCACATGAGCCTGCTGGAAATGTTTATGTTCCTTCCCTCCTCTTCCAAAATATCTATTCTGGTGTTGGACATGCAGCTTTTAAAGCAGGAGCAGAAGCTCTGAGAAACCATCTCTGCACTGAGACATCCAGAACTGCAGGACAAGTCTTTTATCCCAATCCTTTACTTTAACCCCCCCAAACCAAGTGGCGAGTGTAAAATATCGGATCCTTCCCATGCCCGTGAAGCTTTTAGATTCACAGGACGGTCTTGGCACCAGTTCTGTGTATCCCAAGAGCAAAACCCCAACCGTTGGTCAGGGATTCCCCAAGTGAGCACTGTCATGAGCTATCACCATGCTGTAGCGTGGGGTATTGGCACAGCTTCGCCTACCAGGATGAGGAGGAAAAAAGCAAACGAGCTCAATTTCCCCAAATGTGGAACAAATATTTGCACAGAGTGGCTTCTGCCAAGGAGTTACTGGGGTTTGGTGCATGGTTTCTTACGTGGTGCTGCTGGTCAGAAGCAATTTGCTGCTTGCAGCTGGGGACAAGTCTGTGCCTTCCCCTATGGAACAGGCTTGGAGCATTTGGGGCTGAACCAAGTGGGTGTAACTGATTCCCGACGGAAAGTCCTCGGGATTTGTTTCAGGGTAAGATCTTCCTATTGAGAATTGGGGCCATTCTATGGAAAATTTGATGTCAGGAATAACATTTTTTTGCAGCTCTTTGTCAACACAGTATGCTCATTTCCAAGGGATGGTTCAG